GTAAGTTAATATGTAAAATTTTGTGTAATTACATTTTAATTCAAATGTATCAAGTTGGTGTATCATGCTTAATAAGATGACCAATACTAGCAAATAATAGTTTTGTAGTAGAAAATTCAGCTATAAATTCTCCAGATACATTATGAGGTTAGTTAAGAGCAAAATACCAATGGAAGATAGTTGGAAATCAGCAATCAGCTATTCAAAGATTGACTCAAAAAAAATATTAGCTCTACGATACTCCTGATACCTATGAAGCTAGAATTTGACCACTATTATTAGGAGTGGCAGACAATGATACGCAAGTTATAGGATTCTTTAAAAGCCACTTAACAGATGATTTTTATACTAGGATAAGAATTGCAAATTCAGCAGCCATTAATGCATTTTTTATTAAGCTAAAAAATATGTGGCTAGAGCATATACCAATTTTGAATAAAGACCAAGTTTTTCAACAATCTTTCTATAACTCTAAAACAATAGAAGCTCTTGTAATTCTACAATCAGTATTTTCTACACCTGATATACAAAAAATAGTTAATGAAACATTAACAAAACAGAAAGCCAATTACAATACTGAGATAGAAAAATTAAGAAAGGAACTCCAATCCCAAAATGTACAGAAAATGCAAACACTAGCTCTACAAACTATCAAACCAGTTAGATAGCCAAGAGGTCCTCTATCATCATTACAATCAGAAAAAGGTCTTCAGAATTATTATATATCTAAATTTTTAAAAGAAATAGATTTACTAAATAAGAATAAATTAGATTCAGATTATCTTGTAAAGCCTTTTCAAAGATCTTGCCTACAACAAAGCTAGCAACAAAAGCAATTTGAAAGAATAGACAGAATAGAATTGAAAGTAGATGAAATCAGTCAAATAACATCTCAATTTGGGAGGATAATGCTTGATAATCAATCCAAAAAACCTGTAGCTAAATCAAATTTAACACATTAATACTTTTCTCCTCTAATATCTTTCCAATTCCAATATATATCTCCCAATTCAAATAATATTGGGAGGATGGTGAAGGGTGGATATAACAAGAAAGATAATAGATAGCATGCTCCATCTTAGTTAGAAAAAAAAACAGGTATTACTAGTAGATAATAAGTTACATATTAATGTACAAAGTGTACTTACTACAAAAGATATGATACCAAAAACTTATGATCAACTAATAAATTCATTATCACTAGCAATGCAAAGAATATATAAATCTAACTAGTCTTATAAAGTTTAGAAAGAAACCAATGAGTGGTTCTCAACAATACAGTATCTGCATAGCAATATAAATGATTTAATGATCTTTAATAGTTTTTTAGATTCAGCTAGTGAATTCGGCACTATTAATAATACAACTATCGAAATACTTGAGTAGGAAAATGATAAACAATCTTGATTTTGTTATAAAGAGTGACAATTCAAAACATATTACTGAATTATTAAGATGGATTACAGATATTCAATCTCTTTAAAAGATAAGGCAGAAAAAACAGTTACAGTTTCAAAGAATTTTGCATATATTGATAATAGTGAGCCTGAACCAATGCTATATTTAGGTATGATATAGATTCGAAAAGTTCAAGGTATTATTGATCTGAATAAAAATCAATTTTGAATGAAATTACATGGAAAGACTTACACTATCCCAACATATAGCAAGGCCCTAGTAGCTAAGAATCTGCCAAAAGAGAAGCAGGACCAAGTATTCACTGATTCCTCTAGCCTAACTAGTGCAGATAGTTTAAAAAAAATATGTAAACTGCATGAATTATGTATCAGCAAGTCTCTTTGAGATCACACCTTTGGCTGAGAGCATGGCAATTTGTATAAAAGAGTTTGAAAAAGCATTGTTTTCTAGTATTTTATCGAATTTAGAAATTATAAGATACTATAATAATTTGCTTGACCAATATAAAAAAATCCTTCTAGGACTAAATAATGCTGATTAATTACACTTTTTTCTTGCAAGCTCAAAAAAAAGTAAACGCTTTACTAAATACATATATTTAATATATAGTGATTACTTACTTTCTAACTTTGAGTAAGAATTGCAAGAAGGCAAGATAAGAACATGATCAAATGCTTTAATTTTTTCTATTTCAGGAGCAGTTCTCTTATAGAAATCCAAGATATCTTTGGAAGATTCAGTAGATAAAATAGAATCAGATATACGAATAGCCTTGGATTTCGATTTTCTCTCTCCAGTCTTTTTTGCCTTACTATTTGAAATAATATCCTCTTCTGAAGCCAGATCAGTAGATTTGCTAATTTTAGTATCATGTATTTTGTTTTCTAGTACTGTAAAGACAAAATCAAATTTATTAGCATCATGATTGAAATCTTTACTTAAGCTAAATATATTAATATTTGATCGCAATACCTCTTCTCTAGAATTTATTAGTAAATAATTCTCTCTCCATATTTGATATACATGACTTGTCAATATTTTGTATTTGCTTGCTATAGCTTCTGATATATATTTCATTAAATTTCTAGCATTAATGATATTTTGTATATTAGCATCAAATAAAGGAGTTGCATCAGATCATAGATATCAAACTTTTTTTTCTAAATTCTATAACATGATATATTTAAAATAAAAAAAATATTTAGATAATAATTCAAAAAAAATTCAATATAGTTTTGATATATATCCAATTCCTATTTGGTGTTTCAGAACCATTCGGTTAACATCCAATCCTATTTCGGTGTTTCTAAACTATTTAGTTAATATCTAATTCTATTTCGGTGAAAATTCGATTTAGATATATATATATATATATTTTTTTTTTTTTTATATAATTCGGCAGTCTTGCCTTCACTTTATTAGGCTTTGTAATAATTATTTAAACTATTAAAATTTTCTGGAGAGTTATTCTCTCCAGTACCTAAATTACAAATGAAGACTCACCCGGTTGCTCATTGAGTACCTATGTGCGACCTGCT